TGGTCTACCTGCACAGGGTCCAACTCAGCCAGCCTTACACCCTTCAACTCTGGTCCTGAGATCTCTACCGCAGCGCCTGCAGCAAACGACAGTATCCGGAAACGAACCGTCGACGTCGACCTCTACCGGGTTCGCCACGGGCAACCGGGACCAAGCATCGGGCAATACGTGCTCTACCCCCGCCTTCCATTCCAGCTCCAGGTCGTACTCCATCAGCCGCAGCGCCCACCTGTGCAGCTTGGGGCAGAGTTCACGGCTTCGGAACAACCATGTGAGGGCAGACCAGTCTGTCACCAGTTTGAACCGTCTACCCGCTAGTTACGGCCGGAAGTGGTCTACCGCCCAGAGGACCCCCATGCATTCTCGTTCCGTGGNTGAGGGCAGAACAGTCTGTCACCAGTTTGAACCGTCTACCCGCTAGTTACGACCGGAAGTGCTCTACCGCCCAGAGGACCCCCATGCATTCTCGTTCCGTGGGCCCGCGTCTAGCATCGGTTTGTGAAAACCGGTGGCTCGCGATCGCCACCGCGCTGGTGACACCATCGATTGTCGGCATGAGCGAAGCTTCTACACCCAGCGTGCTAGCATCCGTGTGCAGTTCGAACGGACGCTCAAGGTCACGGAAAGCGAGGACCTTCGGGGAAGCCAACGTGTCTCGTAAATACTGGAAGGCGTCTTCCTCAGCTGCGGACCACGGGATAGGAAGCTTGCGTGCACGTTTCGAAGCGAAGGCTTTGTTGCGTAAGATGTTGGTGAGCGGAGCGGCAAACTGTAGTTGGGTACAAACTGACGCAAGTAGCCGGTGAGACCCAAAAACGTGCGCAGCTCTTCTACGGTGTGTGGGCGAGGCATGCGTGCGGTTGCATCTAGCTTAGACGGAGCAGGGTACAGGCCCGTGCTGTCGATGATCATGCCGAGGAACTCCTGCGATGCTGCGCCGAAAATACACTTCGAGAAGTTTACGGACAGTCCCGCAGCCAGAAGGCGGTTCAGAACAAGCGTCAGAGTGGCGAGATATTCTTCCCATGTGTCGCTAGCGATGAGAATGCAAGCCAGCTAAACGCGCCCGATAGATACCCCAAAGCCGACTGTACGAGTGAAGGCCGCCGGAAGCACCGTCAGGCCGAAACCCACAAAGCATACCATCCGCATCTCGAAAGGCCTTCTTGTAACGGTCTTTCACGGCGATTACCATCTGGTGAAAACGGGAGGCGAGGTCTAGCTGAGTGAAATACTTCTTGCCCTTCAACCCATCGAATATCGCCTGCATGTCACCCAAATCCCCACTATCCGAGACCAAGAGTTTGTTGAGTTCACGCCAGTCGATGCACAGTCGCAGCGTACCATCCTTCTTAACGCGTAAGCACTGGGCAGCCCACGGTGACATGGATTGACGGATCATTCCTCGGGTCTGCCAACTAACTGCTGAATCTCTGACCAGATCATGCGTCGTTCTTCCGGAGAGAAACGCCGTTGCTTGGCTGCGAAAGGTGTGCAAAACTCGTTGATCAGAGGAAGCTCAAGCGCACCGTTGATGCAAGCCAGCACTGGCTTTTTGGTCGATCGGAAACAGGCCGTTTTCGATCAACGCTGCGAGGACGTTGACGAGTTGCTGCTTCTCGAGCGACCCCAGCGTCCCCAGGTTGCCGTCCTCTACGCGAACACGCGGGATGGATTCCCCATCAGGTGGAGACGGGCTCGGGGCGCGCGGTTGACGGGGAGCCAGGGGTGGGTCAGCAGCAGAGGGGGCGGTGTCAAACAGCGAATCGAAAGCCGGCTTGTCGCGAACACTGAGTGCTGCCATGCGAGCTATCACCCCGCTACCCTCGACTGCCACCTTCTCCT